CCCCAAAACCCCAAAACCCCAAAACCCCAAAACCCCAAAACCCCAAAACCCCAAAACCCCACTCAGTCACTCTAAATTATAAAATATAAATGTTTTCAGAAATAGTTACTGCTAACGGTAAGTTAGAGGACTGAGTTTAGGTTAGCCTTGTTTGAGTTGGTAGATGGGGGAGAGTATCCAAACTCAAGCACGCTTAGCCCAAAAATATTTACTGTAGTATAACAACGAACTATTTGTATAAGGATTAGGAAGGAAACTGAGGAAAATTAGATTTTTGTATAGGAATAGGAAGGAAATTTTAGGAGTGATAATGAGGGGTAAATGGCGAGTGGGGGTTTTGGGGAGTTTTGGGACTAAGTGTTTGGTCAGGAGTTTACTACGGAGCTGGAAGTTTCTATTTTGGATAGTCTAAGTATTTTTAGAGAATGGATTTAAAGGAAATTCTATGTGAAGAATTCCTCCACCTACTTTAATTGAATTCGAAAGAAGGAGGCTTGCTAAATTGCCACCACAAGGTATGGCTAGCTCAAAATAATTCTTCTTAGAGTTAATTTCACCTCAGTCTCAAAACGGAAATTTCAAATAAGAATCACCGAAGACTAAATGACAAGAAACCAAGTAGGCCAAGATAAAATTTAATAATATAGAAATAAATAAAATGTTTGAAGGTTCTGAACAGTTACATACACAGAGCAAGTACATGGCTCAGAACTATACTAACCTGAGTTCCAGTCATCAATTGTTTGAAAACAAGGTTACAAGTCATCCCAAAATTAACTCGCAGAAAGAAGTTATTGGGAAATTTTGCATGCAAACTCCAATTGGCATGACCACCCAGAATTGGGCTGGGCAAGGACCTCTTAGTATTAACCAAAGGTGAGTATTTCTAATAAATTTATGCCAAATTCTTCCTAAACTGACACCTTATTATAGGACTAATCTCGATTCAATGAAGAAGCTGCACTCAAGTCGTAAGAAGATACGGAATATTTTGAAAAATTCATCTTGTATAAGGGACCAGAAAATTTTTGAACCAGAATATTTCACTAAGAGATTCTCAAGTCCTGTCAATAATGAGGCAAACAAAAATTTAGAAATTCCTTTTATCAAGAAGGACTCAAGGATGATCAGCAGAAACGGCTCTGTGATTGTCAAGAACAGTGACCGCTGTGGTCATAAGCAACAGTATAGCATTTTTGATGAAATTAAAAAGCCCAAGAAGGTCGTCTCGAGGGAAATTTATATCCGCAAACAAAAGCACTTATTTAGGAAAAAGTCTCGGTCTAAAACAGTCAGAGGTTCGCAAGGAGCCAAATCGATGAAGTACAAACCCGTCCTGAAGACTATCAATAAGTGTGTAGTCAAGGATACAGCCGTTGAATCTTGGACAGGCTACTCTATGAGAAACCCCCTTAAGGTTAATCAAGATTCATACGTTATTTCAAAGGATTTATTAGAGGATCCAGAATCGATAGATGTCACTAGCGTAATCTATGAAAATGAGCAGACACATCTCTTTTGTGTCTGTGATGGGCATGGAGATGATGGTAAATCAGTCTCTGAGTACATCAAATCTCGTTTTCCTAACAATATCAAAAGGTTTTTCAACAAAGGAATTCTCAGTATTCCTGAAATTATTGAGAAGGCAGTAAACAGAACCGATAAATTGATCGAGAAATCAAAAGTTGAAGACTACCACAGTGGGTCTACTCTTACTGGGATCCTTGTCAAAGGTAGATCTTTCTTCCCTTTCAATGTCGGTGACTCCAGATGTGCTCTCATCAAATTCAAAACCCTTAACGACAAGGTTCTCTACGATAAGGAGAAAGAGAAGAAGATCATCAACTCTGGTGGCAATGTTGAAGAAAATAAACTCCTGAGAGATGAATCATCTGGTATTTTCCAGGATGTGAACTCCTCAAAAATTACAGATGAAGCTGGTGCCTTTGGTCAGAGCAATCTTCAGTGCAGATTTGAGGTCCAGGCCCTCACAAAAGATCACAACTGCGAAGTTGACAGGGAAGTCAGGAGGATCTACCAAAATGGAGGCCGAATTGAGAAGAATAAAGCCACCTCTGGCATTGGAGGTGTTGGACCTTTGAGAGTCTGGTTTAGACACGAGCAAAAGCCAGGTCTAGCAATGACAAGATCTATTGGCGATCACCAGGCTAGAGAGATCGGAGTAATAGCTACTCCTGAGATAGGCGAAAAGCAAGAGATCACCGAACTTGACTACGGAGTTCTCGTAGCGAGTGATGGTATCTTCGAAGTCCTAAATCATTCTACCATTGCTCAGCTCTTATGGGAAGAAAGAGGGTGTATCCAGACAGCCTGAAAGTCTATATGAGAGCTTGCTAGACAGAAATGGAATTCTAAAATGGGCTCTATTGACGATATCACCTGTCTCATTATAGAATTTGCTCATTAAATGCAGCAATTTTATATTATAAGTGAGTATTCAAATAATAATTTGAAAGACGGGGTTTTGGGGTTTTGGGGTTTTGGGG